ACTCTAAAGAGGAGGGCGGGTGGGCATTTAACGAGGTCCTGTTCGCGGAGTGTTGTGGGGATGTTTCAGGCGGTTTGGCCATTTGTTCTTCCAACATGTGTTGTTTTCGGAGCAGATGTGGAGGATGTCTCACGCGATTCGCTCGTCTCAGGACTCTAAGGGGGCGGCGGGGGGGGGTATTTCACGGGGTCCCGTTCGCGGAGTTTTGTGGGGATGTCTCAGGCGGTTTGGTAATTTTCTCTTCCAACATGTTTTGCTTTCGGAGCAGATTTGGAGGATGTCTCAGGCGATTCGCTGGTTGCCGCACTCTAAGGGGAGCGGCGGGGTGGTGTTTCGCTCGGCCCCTTTCGCGGGATTTGGTGGGGATGTTTAAGGCGGTTTGGCCATTTTCTCTTCCAACATGTTTCATTTTCGGAGCAGATTTGGACGACGTTCGCGCCCAGTTTGCGGGGAAGTCTCAGGCGGTTTGGCCGTTCTGATGCTGGGCGCTTGTCGTTTTCGGAGCAGTTTGGGGAGGATGTCTCAGGCGATTTGCTAGTTTCAGCACTCCCAACGAGGAGGAGGAGGAGGAGGAGGAGGAGGAGGAGGAGGAGGAGGAAGAGGAGGAGGAGGAGGAGGAGGAGGAAGCGAGGATGAGGAGGAAGAGGACGAGGAGGAGGAGGAGGAGAAGGAGGACAGCATGAACACGGTAGGAGCAGAAGCAGGAAGGGGAGGATGATGATGATGATGTTGATGAGGAGGAGGAGGACGTGGGCAACTCGAGTAGCCAGGGCCAGACGATCGAGGTTCGATGCTCCAAAGTTTTAGGTTTTACTCAAACGTTTCCGCCTCACTCTCCTTCGCTCTCCGCTCTCCTTCGCTCTTCTGCATTCATACTCACTCATACTCAGACTCAGCCGCACGCAGGCCCACTCGCACTTAGACTCGCTCATATCCATACTTAAACTTACTCCCACTCTGACTCGCGCGCAAAACCACTCATACTCAGACTCGCTCCTGCTCAGACTCATCATCCTTCGGTCCGCTCAAACGCAGACCGACTCACATTCAGACTGCTTCACATCC